TAATAGACGCATCTGAAAAAACTAATGACCCCAAATGCTGCACAGAATTATGCCTTGTGGTTGTTACCGCTTAAATCTTTTAGTGACATGACACGATCATCACCACAAAATCATTTTTTGGCGTTGTCCAGCGAATATTTATTCTTTTCTGTTTTGACTCAAGCGATAGCAAATTTTGAAGGATCACATAAATAATGTTTAAACTGTTAATCGAAACGCGATGGGAGTGTATAGGGAGTATAAAGGATAGAATCCAAGTTGGTGATATTTACGATGCACTAATACACGTATCCGGAAAAACTAATGACCCTAAATGGTGCAGAAACCTTATTGGCTAAAGAATTAAACTCCGATTTTTGGTAACTCTTGTCATCTGGTTTGATATATTAACCCAGGTGGATTTAGTAAATAAGGTCATGCAATTTGAAAGAACCATTACACCCATAGAAAATAAGCAAGATTTTTTATATCGCTTTATGAAAAATGACTTTCAAAAATCCCTCAACTCAGAGGAAAAGCTTGCACAAAAATTGAAAATGAGTATAGAAGATCAGTACCTTTCTTTAATAAAATTAATTTCTAGACGGAAAGTTCAAAAACAATTTTCTTATGAAGGAAATGAAACGCCTATACATGGTCCTCAAAAAAATATGAGATTAAATTTTTCAATATATTACTAGATCTAGCGAGAAATTCGCTGGATGAATCTTTCCAGCAGTTAAAGCTCTTTCTTATTTTGGATTTGTATTCAATATACCAGAATTAATAAATACGCCTGAGATAAATAAAAAATGTTATCAATTAGTTTTATAACAGATCAGGATACGCTGGAAAAAGATATTAATCTGCAAGACCTACTAATTGAATTAAAATAAAAAATTTAGTGAATATATTAAGCAGGCATCCCCATAAAAACTCCATTGGAAATTTTACTCTATATTAACACTAATAGGTAAAATGAAGCCTTACCAAATATATCCATATTATAAATGATAATTTTAACCATTCCATTTACCGTGGCATCTGCAGAACGCAGCTTCTCAAAGCTCTATTTAATTAAAACTTACCTACGATCCTGTATGGCCCAGAACCAACTTGTTAACCTCTCTTTAATTTCAATAGAAAATGATATCGCCTCCTCGTTAGATTATATTGACATAATATCCCTTTTTAAATAAAAAGGCGAGTAGGAAAAATTAAATTGCAATATTTTTGAACACTCATTTATGATTAAAATTTAATAAAGTGTATATGCTTTTAGTTCTCATTGCGAAAAATTATCAAATAAGCTTAGGTAAATAATGTTATCTTAAGGGGTTGCCAAATTGTTTTTGCCACGTGCCACCAAAAGTCTTGGCATGGCGCTGGATGCAAATATATCTGTATACATATCAATTTCAGAATTTAAATCTTGGTATAAAAAATTAATTTTAGTAGATAATCCTCAAAGAAACGCAACGGCCATTGCATACTTTAAAATATATTTTGGAGTTTTTTCCAAATATATTAAAATGACTATATATTTTGGCTATATTACAATACCAACAATCAGTATTAGCACAAACGAAAGCACCTTTTCTTTATTACGGTGAATAAAAACTTATCTCAAAAGTACATCATCTTAAAATTGATTGAATGGACTAGCTTTACTCAATAAATATCGCAATTTAATCCAAATTTAGAACAAGTTATTGAAAAATTGGCACAATGGAAAAGAAGATTAAAAATTGGCACAATGGAAAATAAAATTAAATTTTCATCTATGAACGATATTTTGATTTAAATCATATAATGTTTAATTCTATATTATACTGTGACTTGCATACCGGTTATAGCTATAATATTTTTTAATATTATATTTGCTCTTATATTTTGAATTTTCCAATTTTATTACTTGGGTTCAAAATTGTCATTTTTAATAAGATTGGTTATAATCAGTCTTGTTAACGCTCCTTTTTAAAAGTAGCGACTCCCGCTCCCGCTCCTACCTTCTCAAAAGGAGCGAACTCCCGCTCCCGCTACTACATATTAAAAGGAGCGCTCCCGCTCCAACTAATGGAGTGCCGCTCCATAACCGCTCCTTTGATTTTCATTTTTTTAGAAGGTACACGAAACAAAATCATATTTTTTTATCAAAACGTTTTATTTATATTATATGATATATCAAAATATTTATAATCTTTTATTAGCTTTTAAAAGTAATAAATTTTCTAAATTAGAATCTAACAAACATCCACGCTTCTCCCCTAAGACCTGTTTTGCGATAATAAATAGGGGCTCCACAGGAGCACTAGAAGGAAGCGGGGTATTGTATTTAATATAAATATTTTTTAATTCATGGAATTGTTCAAAAATAGTAATTTTGCTATCATTATTTAAAAAATATCTATCCAATATATTATTTTCATGGTAATCGATTTCATGGAATCCAAAGAAATCTTCCAAATCATTACAAGGTTCCCGTGAACTAGTTGTAGCTATTTTTCCTTCGGGTATTTGTTTCCCTAAAAAATTAATTAATCTGGCTTTTAGTTCCATATTTTTTGGATCTTTTATCCATTCCCAATTCAATTTAAATGCAGGATGGACAATCGCTGCAATTATATTATCATCATGATAAATATTTGGAAATCTGCAATAAGGTTATTTAAATAGATATAATTTATGTTTTATTATAAACCTTTTATTAATACCGCTGATGAGAGACTTTACAAGAGGTTGGCAAAACTCTAAATCTGATAATTCATTTAATTTTGAAATGAGTTTAAAAATGGTAGGACTTAGGAAACCCATGTCCATATGAAGCTCCCCTTCAAGGATTTTCAGAGCTTTTTTCATAGGTTCCATAACCTAAATTTATTTATATCACTTCCATAATATCTAAAACTATTTTTTATTATATATCTATAAAATGATGTACAAGATTTTTCAAAAAATTTTCAATATAAAAAGGAAAAACTGATGTTTAATGTTTCAAATGATTAGATGAAAAATCAATATAAAACTCGGCTCAACATTTAATAATGAATAAATTTAAATAAAATATAATTTTATTTTCATTAAATTTTAATTAACAAATATATTATTAATATTTAAAAAATAATATAATTTATATATTAAATTTAAAGGAGCGGAGGAGCGCCGCTCCTCCGTTCCAGCCCTAAAAGGAGCTACTCCCGCTCCCGCTTCTCATTTTTAAAAAGGAGGGGCGCTCCAGCTTTTTTTGAAAAAATGTAGCGGCGCTCCGGAGCGCCGCTCCTGTAGCTCCGCTCCTTAACAAGACTGGTTATAATAAATTTTATATTGAAAATTTCTAATAAATTTTTAATGTTCCAACATAAAAAAATTTATCTCCGCCCCCCTCTTGTAGAAAATTTCTGGCTAAGCGCCTTGGTTGATAACAACTGCTGTGAAGGGCTTTTATCATTTGGAACTAATTTGCTGCCGAATTTTAAAAAATGGCTTGGCATTATAAATTAAATTAATATGAATTTTGTTAATAATTTGATAGCATGTTTTTTCATCAACAGATTACTTATAATATTTTTTTATTTTTAAAATTAGATGTGCTTCTGTCAATATATTTACGTATGAATAATATTTAAAAACAAATTATGGAAATTATTCAAATCGAATATAAATAATAAATTTTATTATTCGTGTGAATACGAATAAAATGAATCGAATAGAATGAATTGAATAATGTTCTATTGGATTCATGTCTTGAATAGGCTTAATATTAAGTGTATAGGCATGAAACTCTTTATAAAGGTTAACGCTATGTGCAGACCCCACATATTCGACTTGGTTTACTATATATCATCAAATCGGGCATATCGTATACTATGACGCATTTTCCAAACTTCCACTTACAATGCAACATCCAATGAGTCTCGAATTCGAGGAAGCCGTAGGAGAGGTGATAGCCCTCTCTGCTTTAAATTTGGAAAACTTGAAAAGAATGAATTTGTTGCCACAAGGTAATGATAGAATTATAAAAATTATAAAATTTTGATCTTTTATAAATCATCTTATTTTAATAAAGATTTATTCAAGGTTATATAACAAAAATATATAATACTTTCATGTCCAAACTTCATTATAAAAGTAATATGACTTTTATGTCAAAAAAAATGACATAAAAATATATAAATCGTTCGCTCCCAATATTTTCATCAAAAGTTATGCGAATTATTTTTATTTAAATTGCTCTTTCATTTAACCTTTTAGGAAAAGATTTGCGAAAAAGGTTTTTACTACATCAAGCTCTACGCGATATCCCCAAAATGATGTATTTTTTAACCCTAGAGATATGGAAATATAAATTGATAGAGGGCCAAACGGACTCAACTAAATTAAATGAGCTATGGTGGCAATACGTGGGAGAAATACAGGGACTAGAAATGCCACGCGAGATTAAAAAAGATGTTAAAGATTTCTTCACTTTGGGACTAAATCATTTCATCGTAAGCAACGCAAATATTCCCAAATATTTAAACGCCATCGTGTTAAAGTATCAGATATTCGAAGGGCTTTGCGATAAAAGCATTGATGAAATAAATATGGAATTGTCCCAATGTGATTTATTTGATAATAAAGTAGCTGGAGGCTTATTAAGGTAGAAAAAATCTTATTTATCAATTTATTAGTTTATTACACCTAATTTTTAAATGGCTTATAGAACATAATTTTATATTTATTTTTTGAAAAAAAAACAGATCAATTATGGAAAAGGGGCGTGGAATAGAGTGGCATGAAGGGTTAAAAATACTAACCAAAAGGGATTACATTGATTTTAAGTCAATATTCAATTATTATAAACCTCTTATTCAGTATTTAAAGAAAAATTTGAATGAGACCAAATTCGATTGGAAAATAAAGTCGATATTATAATTTAGTTCGTCCGTGGCTAATTTTAAAATATTTTTTACAAAATATCCCATAATATTGTTACAATTTTTTTTATATATAATACTATTAAAAATATATTCATGATTTTAATAATTTGCAAATTTACAAAATTTCATTTTTAAAAAATTTTTGTATATAACATGTCGTTTGAAATATTACATCAAAAAATAAAACTATGTGATTTGATGGATAAAATTTGATAAAGCTCTTCGACTAATGTTAAAGTATATTTGTTCGATTCCAGATTCATCCTTAAAAATAATGAAGAAATATGAAAATGGAAAGTTTTCTAAATTTTTGTTTTAAAAAAAAATTGATTTAACTTTTTAAAATAATTATTATCTCAGGTAAGAATTTAATATCAGTTTTTTTTAAAATTACTTTTATTCTTTATTAGCGCTAAAATAGTTGTTTTTTTGAGCCTGACATGAACCTACCCCGATCCGGTCGAACTCCTATCGGACGTTCGAACTCGGTCGAGTTTTGATTTTAAACTTTCGAAATAAACGCTGTGTTCAAACAAATAAATTTGTTACCTAATATAAAACTCCAATCTCAAAAAAATTTACAAGAGATATATTTAATTTTCAAATATAATTTCTAATAAAATCAAATGGAAAAATTTTAACAATTTTTAACTAATTTCATAATGGGAGTGGAAGTTTACATAAATATAAAGTTGGAGTTTCCCAACGATCGTGCAAATATGAATTTGTTTTGCCATGAAAGAGATAAAAAGTAGGATATGATTTTAAAAAATCTCCATGTTACTATGTCAGTAAACTTATTTTGTATCATATAGTTGTTCCCTTCCCTTTGGCTTATAAAATCTTATTTTCCTATGGAAACTGATTGAATAAACTAAGAGAGTTTGTTTTGACAGTGTTCAGGGTCATACTCTTACGCTGCAGTAGTTAGCATGCCTCGCTGCAGTTGTGAGTAATAATATATGTTAGTAGGTAATGCAGAAACCACAATTTATATTCGATGGCGAAAAAATCTCAAGTTAGAATTCGTTTTCTTTCACAGGATCATAGTAGGTCCATCAGGCATTTGCCATTGGAAATGTATAGTTTAATAGCTCAAGGGTTGATGGAAAACGGGATGATTTTAAGGCTTTGGTTAGTCGTTGCACTTTGAGTAATTGAGGAATCAACCTCAGTATCAGTGGCGGCCTTTGGAGTTTAACCATGTTTGACAAATGTCGTGGTAAGGTGTTACTAATTCACAGTTAAGCCTGAGACTAATGATATGATGTAACTCATCGTTGAAATTTTATATTTCAATAACAGATCATTTAAAAATATTTAAAGACAGCAAAAGCTTAAAAATAAATAAACAAATAAAGGATTTAATATCAAGATTTATATGTCATTTTGTTAAAACGTAATATACTTTACATTTTTTATAGTAATAATTTCATGATCCACAAATTCTCTCAAGTGTATCCTTAACCCAATTTCATTGCCGACCAAAAATTCTTCCCGGCATAGTCTTAGTAGATTTTGAAATGGTATCGAATCTTAAAAGTTAAGAAAAATTTGGTGAAAAAAATATATATATAAATTTTATAAAATTTTATTTGCCAATTCCCAATTCAAAAATCATGGCATCGCTAATACTTTATTATTAGGGTGCGTCTAATTGGAGCGTACGAGAATTTCAATGATAATTTCAAGAATTGAAACACTCATAGCCTTAATCTCTCTAATTAGGTAATTGCTTTAGATGTGCTAAAAATTCAATTTTATATAATAAAATGTATTTTCGGCGTAGTCAAATTAAATTTAGCCTTCTCCAATGAGACCACAGAAATAATAAGAACTATTTTTTAATATATATAATTATTTTTATGATATTATTCTTGTCTTAATTTTAAATATGATAGCACCAAATTTAACATCTAATAAAAGGAGCATAACATAGTATTTTATACCATATATATAACTATCTTTAAGCATTTGCATAATCTCATTGGTAAATAATAAATAAGGATATAAATTAGGCCCTTTTCGTTTACTAATTTTTGGCTATAGGATCTTCATTGTATCAAGAGGTATTTTTGTGACCTCTTCTTCAGTGAGTTTTGTGAAGATCATGGTCCGATCTTTGTCCAATCTTTAGTTTAAACAGGACCCAACCATAATCTTTTAAAATCGATCCAAGCCGTAGTATTAAGTAAAAAGATCGGCCTATGATTGGTCTTTTTATTTTGTTGTTATTTTTTAAATATTTCGTTTTTACCTAATTTAGTTCCCGTTAAAATGCTTTTTTGACAAAATTATAATTTTCATATTGCAAATAAAAATGAACTAAATATTCACAAAAACTAAAATACCTCTATAAAAATAACATAAAATAAAATATGCAAAAAAATTAGGTAAAAAATTATATTAATAGATCAAATTTAAATACTAATAAAAGACCCGTCCGGACTTTGGTCCTCAAAAAATATAAATCCGGTCCCAGTCAAAGATATAGGACAGGACCATTCGCCTCCACCATGAGTTAGTTCATTTCATTTGCATAAGGGTATTAATTCATCTTCCAATTTTTGAGGTTATTTAGTTGTTAAGTATCTACAAGATTATGCCCAATATGGTTGTCATATAACGAAAATATATGAAGTGTTGAATAGTAAAAAAAAGAAATGGGAAGACTCCTGAACAATTTATATATACATATTCATTCATGATTATTATTTATTTTTACTTTGTGAAATTTTAAAAATTTTAGTTTAGTTGGTTATTGATAAAAATATTTGTGCATTGAAAGTAAATAAATGTTAAAGTAGATGGCAAGTGATATTAATTCAAAAATTACTAATTAATATATAAAAATTATTAATTAGTTAAAAAATTAAATAATACCCAAACAAAATAATTCTAGAGAAAAATTTAATTTAATAATACCAAACATATTAATTGTATCGTTCTAAGTTTTAATGATCTCCAAAGCTGATGGTAAGCGGAAAATAATAAATATCCGGAAAAAAAATCCCCGAAAATAATTCACCGGAAAAAAATTCCCCGCAAAAAAATCCCCTGGAAAATAATTCCCCAGAAAAAAAATCCCAGGAAAAAATTTCTCCTGGAAGATAATTCCCCGGAAATAAATTCCCCATTTTTTAGATTTTAAATTAAATATGGGGGAAAATTAATCCCCGGAAAAAAAACCGGAAAAAATTTCCCGAATAATTTTTTTTTAAATTATCAAAAAATAATCCCGCCGCTAAAATAAAGAAAATATTTCTAAAAAATATATTAGTATTTTCTGAACGTTGAGAGTATTTCTTTTTTAAATCCAAAAGGGCAATCTTTAAATGAGAATTGATAAATCGGTTGGTAGCTTTTATATTTTATAATTTAGTAGAGAGCATAAAAAGTATAAATTTGTCACGATAGGTTTTTATAGAAATATATGAAAATTATGAAAGAGGTTTTACAATTTAAAATTGAAAAGAAAAATGTGAAAGCAAATTTTTCCCTAGAAAGAGAAAGGATATCTCCATAATCCACTTTTCATGACTTGAATAGATAATATGAAAATAGGTAATTAAACCACATTATATTTACCATGAAGAGGGGGAGGGGGTTATTTCTAACACGCCACTAAGGTTAAAATTAATATATAACATTAAAATGAATATTATGACACTATTCTGTTCCGTTCGTTTATATAAGTTAGAATCCCGGACAAAAATAACATAATAGAAAATTTTTATGTTTAATATTATTGATTTTAAAAATTGTATCTGATTATAAATTTTCAAAAAAAGATTGATCCTAATCACTAATTACAAAAGCTTATTTAATTCAAAGAGAATCTCAAGTAATTGAACGTTACCAAAAAATATACTATTTATTCTAAATAATATTTGTTTATTTTTATAAATATTATAATTTTTAATATATTTAATTCATCAAAGAAAACACAGGAAGGACAATAATCTTAAAATAGAAACCTTTTTTATTTGAAAGTTTCCAACTCCGGAAATGTTATTACATAATCCCAGTTAGTTCCCTGATATTATTATTATTTATAACGTTGAAAGGAAAGTTATGCTCAAGAATAAATAAATTTATATATTTGGGTGATATATTCTATGTAATTTTGAAACAAACGATTTTCATTTAGTTTTTTTATTACTTTTTATAAAATTTTCTTTTACTATTTTAAACATTTTTGATAATTTTAATAAATTTTTTATTTTTATTCTTCCGTTAAAAAAGCATGCTAAAATTTTTCATGAGGGCTATTCCTACAATTATCAAATCTTAAAAGACAAATGTACATTATATAATGCTGAAAAATGCCCAGATATTTTGAAATATTACAATGAAAATGACTATACATTGGAAAATACGCCTCATATTCATCCTATAAACCCACATGATTATCAAATTGAAAATGCTATAAGCACGATGAAAAGAAAAGCCTCTGAAACAAATCAAAATACTTGCCAAATATAAGCAGAAGAAATGTCCAAATTGTCTCCCGAATCCAGAAAAAGACTTCCGAATGAAGATAGTATCAAGAGGACACTTAGAAATCACAAAATAAATAGGTTTCCTCCTATTCTGGCCACATTGGAAGAATTAAGCATTTCAAATTAAATCATATTTATGCTATAAATAACTTTTTAATTGAAAATATCTTTTAATATTAGAGGATTGGGCTACAACCGGATCCCCCACGAATGAGAGATTTCTTTTGCATGATAATGGCAGAGATTCTAATTAACGAATAATTATATTTGCCACCGATTATATGCATAAAATGTTAGCCGAAACGAAAACTTTGTATATAGACGGAAATTTTAAATTGGCTCCTCATTTATTTTTCAGCTATATGTAATTAGAATACCCTTTAAAACACTGTTTATTACAACGGCATATTTTTTGTTACAAAGAAAAACATACAACGTATGAAGAAATTTTTAAGATTTTACTCGAAAAAGCCCAAGAACGGAATTTAGTCATAGATCCGATAACAATTTATATGGATTTTGAAAAGGCCGCAATCAATGCCGTCGAAAATACTCTAGGTTTCTTTTTACGATCTAATTACATTTATATACTATCGAGATAAATAAGGGCCTTGATTTTAAAATGTATTTTGGACCGTGGACCTTAAACGGGTCAAAAAATGATATGAATTTATGCCGGGCCAAAATAAAAAATGGGAGCTGGCCATTATCATTACTTAACTTATAATAATATTTAGCTTAATATTACAGAGACTAGGTAATTTTTGAATTTATAAATCCGGGCCAAAATAAAAAATCTGAGCTGGCCATAATATTCTGCATAATATCAGAGAGACTAGGTATTCAATTCGTTTATTTTATAAATATTGCTTTGTTTAATTTTCACTAAACCTGGGTTCGGGATAAGTCCATAACATTATACATTATATTTATTAGTATTAATTAATAATTTAAGTTTTTGTTAGGTTTAATATTAATCCCAAGTACTATTTTATTTGAAATTTTTATTTGGAAAAATTTTACAGGAATTTTTGACGATTTTCTCAAAAAATATTTTAGGGATTTTTTTTCCGGGGATATTTTTTCCTATATTGTTAATTTTATAAAAACAATTTAATATTTTATAGGATTTAAAAAATGGGGAATTTTTTTCCGAGGAAATTTTTTCCGTGGTTTTTTTTTTCCGGAGAATTATTTACCTGGGAATTATTTTCCGGGGAATTTTTTTCCATAGCCGAAATTCGTCAGCAATAAATGCCAGTGGATGATTCTTGGGATATTTATCTTTTTTTGATTGAGTAAAATTAGTGCATTTAGTAAATATTCGAATTCGAATCAAATATCAGATTTAATTCGACCTGGCAAAAAAAAATGCCTGTTATTAGATTCATGTTCATTTTAATTCAAAGAAGTACGTTTGTCTCAGAGCAAGAAATATTTGAAAAAAAAGTTGGTGAAAAAGTCGTTTATGAATATGATCAATATCATATGAATGCGTAGTCCCCGCTATTAAATGCATATTGTTAGTTAGTATGAAAAGAATGACGTTTTTTTGACAAAATTTGAGACAATTAGCTATAAAGATGAAAAAGTTATAAGCGTTTCCCTTTTACACCAATAGCAGTATAACCCCGGCCTCCTTTATATTGTTCAAAATTTAGTTATTTATTTCAAGCCACTTCCAGATAGAACGTTTTTTCAAAGCTATGGGAATCAGCGCCAGGAAAGGGGTCATTTCTAAAAACCGGAAGAGAACTTATTTTTTTTTAATTCCCAGGATCTCCTTTTTAAAAATATTTAGAATTTTAAAACACCAGATTCTCACTCGATCTTGACTTAAAAACCCTTTCCTGTTAATTAAAAAATATTGAAAAACAAAAAAAAAATTATACCATCACTTGGTAGATCTGAAACATCTGATTCGAATTTCATAATTTCCAGCGTCATAATGTCAAAGACTTTTTTGGAATTTACGGAGAGGCTGGAATACACGCGTTTCAGAGACAAAATAGAGGCATCGTTTCCGTCATTTTTAATTTCATCTCCATTGTTGTCATTTTGTGGATGTGTAGAGTTAATCAAAAAGAAACAAGAATCTTGAGAATTTGACTCCTGCAAGAAAGAGCGAGGCGTTGGCGTGTGATGGCGTATCCAATTGAATTCCTTGTAACTGTCAGATTTTTCGTCCCAAACTTTTTTAAAGAGTGAATTACAGCTTACAGGGTTAATAAAAAATTTCTAACATGTGAACTTAATTAAAAATAAATAACCTTTTTTTGATATGCCATCATTATATTATTTAAATATCATTTAAAATTTATGTCTAATTTTAATGTTGTGTTCAAAACTTGCTTTAAAAGCTTTAAAACTTAAAAAAGACTAGCTTATCATGTGTTTTTCAATAAAGTTTTTAAATTTTTGGAATTAAATTTTTTTATGTTGCTGGATGAATATTAAAAAAATGGTGAAATTCTTTTTTAAGTTAAAGTCATTCATTTTAATTTACATATATGCTATGTTAAAAAAATTGTGTAATGTAAAAAACTTTTAATGATAGTATATATTTTAGGATAATAATCATAAAAAATTGAATATAAAGTTATTATTTTTCAAAGTTTTTCAAATAGTTACAAACAATTTTTTCAAAATAATAATTTATTTTTTTATAACTAATTAACCCAATTATAATATATAAAGTAATGTTCCGTATATACCAAAACTCAACCTGTCTGAATTTAGGCCAGGCGATCTCAAATATTTTTCTTTAGGCAAGAAATATTTATTTTAAATCGAAGAGACTTCCTGATTTTTTTTATAAAAAGTTAAAATTTAAAATATTTAAATGAGACTTACTCCCATATTTTTATGCTTTTAATTCAAATTTGGTTTTTTTACTAAGTTCCAATTAATATTCTTTTTGGTTAAATCAAGATTGGATTTAAATACTACCTTTAAAAATTGTAGTGCAAGTCCAACAAAAAAATAACTTCTAGTTGAATCGACTTGGATCTATTTTTTTAAATACTCAAAAGATATATAATGCAGTGCTATGGTATGAAGTATGAAATTAGAACAAGTCCTTAAAGAGGGAAGGGATATAGACATAAAATATAGACTTGTTACTAAGAAATTATTACCATCTTTGAATAATGAAAATTTTTATTGTCTTTTACTATAAGCATATAAATTTCTTTAGAGAATCGATTTTAAAATTAACAAAGGTCCAAAAAAATGGTAAAGGTTTAATAAGTTTAATTAAATAGATTAATAAAAATATAAGCATAAAAAAAATATGAAAATTTACATTATAATTTTAAACTATATTAAAAAATACAATTAAATTCTTAGCCACATTAAAAATTTACAGTATGTATTAGAAAAACCTCAATTAAATATAAAAGTGGATACCACAATATAAACATCCATGACGTATTACCAGGGACCCGGAGTGAACCATAACAAACTGTTATAAATATCTGAACTAGAGATCTGCAAAGTTAGGCCCGGCCCATACCCTATTTTAAAATAATCGGGTTCGGGCCGGGCCTAATATTTTTAAAAAATTCGTGCTGGGTCGGGTCGGATTTTGGAATTTTTTCTAAATATATCTAAATTTATCAATTTTATATTGAATTTTTTATGTAAAATAAAAATTTTTGATTTTATTTATTGAAACTAAAAGCCATATAACATATGTCTTTTATTTTGAGTAATTATAAAAATTAATTTCTATATTTAAGTAAATTCGGGCCAAGCCGGTAAATTTTTTTAAAAAAATTCCGGTTCAAACCGGGCCGGCAAAACTTTTTTAAAAAAAATTTCGGTCCAGGCCGGGCTTGAAAAATTAGGCCCGATGCAGATCACTAATCTGAACCATAACCATAACTAATATAATTATTTTTTGAAAAAGTAAAAAGAACCTTTATAAAAAAACGGTTAAACCGGTTCAGTTTTTATATTTTAGAAATAGAAATAATTTGAATATCCATAATTATATAAACTTGCTCTTATAGGACTGGCGGTTCCCGAAACACAAGTTTCTGTAGAAAGGGCTTTTTTGGGGCTAAAATTTGTGTTCGGGGCTAAAATTTGTGTTATCGTCACAAAAAACAAAAAGGAATCCATTTATATTAGAAAATATATTACTTATATGTTCAAATAATATATTTAAAGGTTATTTTGAATCTTATATTTTTTTTATATATATAATTTATAGATGTTAATAATAAAAATAAATTAGAAGATGGTGTTGCTTCAATAAAAAAAAAAATTTCTAATCATAATGAACCTTTATAAACCTTTAAAATTAGCTGAACCGAACCTTTATAAATTTCTTCTTAAGAACCATAACCAAAATGTAACCATAATTTTTTACATACTGAACCGTAACCAAAATGAGCCGTTATAAATAACAGTTCGGGTCCCTGTGTATTAATGTGTATTGATTTTAAACTAATAAAGTTTATTGAGAAAGATAAAGAATCATTTTAGGTTTAAAAGATTTTAAAATATTCAATATATTTATATTTTATTAAATGTTAGGTCATTAAACCCGAAACTTAGCTACTTTCAAAGGTTAAAATTATGTATAACCTAAATGGAAATATGATTAAACAAAAATTATATCAACCCTTTCCTTTTTTTCATATTTGACTGAAATTCTATCATATTTTTAAATAAAAATAAGGTATTTTAAATAAAGTCTCAGTTGCTTTTTATATACTTGTTCCATTATTTATCTTATCTATAGATGCTATTATATGGATATTCCCAATTTGTACTAGATTTAATAAAAAGTTCAATATCTGTTCAGTTTGATGATTAATAGAATCTAAGCTGTGGACCACGATAAAATACTCTTTTCTATTATTTTCTAAACTTAAATTAAAATCAAATCATTTATTGTAAACCTGGTCTAGAAAGAAAGTTATCAATAGATCTTTCTATATGACCTAATTGAATAAATTTCTGCGGGATTTCAATCATGTTTAATATTGTATCAGTTATCTATAATAACAGAATTATATCAAATCATATTCTAAATTTCTATATCTATAATATGTGCTTATATATTTTTAAAAATGCTTCTTAACATAAAAAACATATATTAGGTTTTAATTAAATATTATTTGATAAATATTGAAATTTAATAATATATTTCTCATAAATCGATTTATACTATTTTTAAGTTGATATCCACCATATATCCTTGAATAACAATGTGCGTAAATGAATTTTTCAAGCAATTCAGAATATAAGTTTCGAGTAAATCATATTTTGAGCCAACCCCATATAATAATACATTAAATCCGTTCCTATAAAACTAGTTATATTTATTTTATAAATTTAAAACTAACATCATCTCATACATCCACTCAGTGAAATGAGTTTTATAATTTAAATAGCGCTGTTTTTCCATATGATAAATGTGTAGATCAACTCCGTGTCGGAGAATGGACAGGCAGAGTCTACATGACAGGATTTTACAGGATGCAAACCCCCTTCAAAAACCTATGCCCACACTACACCCCTATTTTTAATTTCAACATTTTAATTATAATGATACTCTATCAGAAAATTTAAAAAGTATAACTTAAATTATTTTATCTCTACTATCGACATTTTGTGAATATAAAGGAGTTATTTTTTAGATTATATATTCAATTAAAACCCCCATCATTTACAATGAATTTATTATTATAGCATTATGAGCTTGCTGAAAATGTCTAAACCTTTTAAATTACTTTTTAAGGATAGCAGAAAGTTTTATTTGGATGTTTGCAATATATAGATTTGGTTGATGAATTATATTATAATAGGTCTAAAGTAAAACATTAATTCATACAGCAATAAATTTGTCCTATTTAATCTCAAAATTTAATAGATAACTCCCCAAAAAATGTATCCTACCCCCATTAAAGCCACCTACCCCTTACCTACCTCGAAAAAATAGGATGCAAACCTCTAATAACTCCCCCGTTCATGTAGACGCTGTGGACAGGTAAACTGAAAATGGGCAGGTAAAAAATATCTTAGTTTATACTTTATAGTTAATTAATTATAGGTTAAAATTAGAAATAAAATTTGTAATAATAATTTACTAAATTGTTTATAAAAAAATGGAACATTCTATTTAATTAAAAATATGTGTTTAAAAAACGATAATTATTTATTTTATGTGACAATTTTAAAATATACAAATAAATATGGTATACTTATAGTTTTATCTTAAGTATTCAAGATAAAAGGTTAAAAAAAATTATATTTATATGGATAGTTTAGCCAAAATGGTGGCGATACTTTAAATGGTGGTAATACCTTGTGAGAATACAGGGAATAAAAGAAAATTGGCGAACTTATTTACTGTTAAATTTGATAAATTCAATAGAAAGAGATCAATCTGGTTACTTTTTGAAGCCAGTTTCCTTAGATGTAAGTCTAACTGAATCTCAATATATAGATATATTTTTTAACATTCTTTGCCAACAAAAATTAATAACTAGTTAATTGCAATTGCTATCCAGATTCTATTGGAACCTCTTTTAAGGAAATCAAATCATTATGTCCTAAGATTATTTAACCGATAATCAACGGAAATTTTAGCTGAATTTGCGAATAAAATTAGAACAATTGGCAAGCGTTATCTTTATCTTAATGATGTCAATGATTATTTAGTTGATCAGTTTATGGTTGACATGAAAATACCGAAATTGGAAAGAGATCTAAGGGCTCTATATTCCGTCGGTCTTGATAGAGATAATACCAATTTATTCTTAATCTAGCAATCTCTTTTGAACTAGCAGACAAATAAATGACAAATAAAAATATGCCATCATAGTCAACAGTGGCGTCACTAGGGTGGGGAAAAGGGGCTCGAGCCTCTTGAAAAAATTGAATAGCCCCCTGAAGCAAAAAAATTTTTTTAATAGCTCCTTAATATCCCCTTGAACTAAAAATAAATATTTTTTGATTGCCTGCTGAACGATTTCTTTTATAATTCTATTGAGTAATATATATATATATTTAATTTTATAATTTAAAAATTAATAAGACTATCTAAATTTTTATTAAATAAATACTATTTTAATTATTAGATTAGATTAATACATATAAATTTTATCTTCACTATGTCAGCTTGCAATCAAATTCCATGTTAAAAATAGAATATTAATGTTAAGGTTGGCAGGGAGAAGAACAAAATTAAGAAAGTTATTTTAAAACTTTTATTTAATAAATTTATTTTATAAATATTTTACTGAAAATACAATAAATTTATTCTTTATATATAAAAAAAATGTATTAAATAATTTAAAATATACTAATAAGTGAGGTTAATATCAATTGTGTTAATTAAATGAATGCGACATATAAAAATTTGCGCTATATAACAACCAGTATAATAAAATAATTATCCATGTTAAACATTCCACCTTCTAAAGGAACCCTGCCTAGGTTCTCTTTAGACTTAAATTTTTCGTGTTCAAGGAGTTTCCCATCTATTTTGATCATAAAATCTGTCATAGTTTCGTCTTGGAAAATGATAGTTATTTTTGTTGTTAAATCTTTGTTGCCATAATTTGGTCAAATCTGCCATGGTTGTCTAAACTGATGTTTGTAATTATTATCATAAAGTCTGTTGTTCTCAATATATGGCATCATCTGGGTAGTGTCATATCTAGTATTAGTTGGTTTTTGTTCGTAAATTTTCTTATCTTGTCTTATTCCTCAAATCTTCGAAAAAAGGGTTTAGTTGTTCATATGATTTGAATTTGTCACCCTTCTGTTAATTATTATCATTGTTTGTTATTAAATATATATGCGAAGATTTTGAATGATTTTAGAATGTAGGTATTATTGAATAACGTCGTATTAGAATAAGAATCGTCGAGTAATCGAAATAGAATTAATTTAAAAAATATCGAATTTGATTAAGAATAATTGAAGCAGAATAAATTTATCACATATTGAATAATTGAAATAAAATAAAATAAAAAATTGGTCGCGTTTTATTTATATATTATTTACATTGCGTTTTAAATAATAGCGTTTACGTTTATCAATATCGCGTTTTATAAATAGATTTCATAATGTATTATTTTATATTTATTTTTTTTATTAAAGCGTTTTAAAAAATTATTTTATATGTATTTTTTAATAAAAGATGATATGTACGTCTGTACATCCATTTCTCTCTTCAGAGATTTAAATTTTGTGCCCTTATTTTTTAAAGCAAATAATAACTCAAAATTACTGTTTTCTTTTATCTTCAATAAAAATAATGTTTTAAAGTAGTCATTATTGCTTACATATGTTTTGTCCTTTAAACATAATTTAGATTTCATTGTTTTTAAAATTTTAAATTTGGAAAATTCGTCCACTTTATCATTAATTATATAAGGTAAATGTTTATTTGTATTGTCTATTCTCTTGATTTTTTAATATTTGTAAGTGTCAAGCTTTAATGATTTCGATTCTATTTTTTTAAAAATTTTGTATATGGGAATTTCATCTATTTCATTTTCACTAATTTTTTCAATACTAAGATTTATATCATTATTTTTACAGTCATATTACTCTTTTAAAATTTCACCATGTGATCTTATGGGTATATTTATATTTTCATCATTTTTATCTTTAGATACTAAAATTATTTCAAATGATATTATGTCAACAATATTTCCTTTAATTTATAAGTATTAATTATATGTTTATCAATATTTTTATTTATAAGATTTATATCATTACTTTTATAAAATAATTTTAGCCTTTTCAGCAAAGCATCTGGAGATTCAAACTCCTCATCTGTCGATATGGCCCTAACTAAGTTAAAGATGTTATCAGGTAAATTAAAAGTCAATAGCATAGCCTCACATCTACTGTTGAGCTTACTAACTTTAAAAAAATTCTCAGCCTTAGCAATATAAGATTGCATGTTGCCGCTATACTCCGGAAAAGATAATATCATAATATATATGTGTTTATTTTTTACAATATCTTTATTTTATAAATATTTTAAAGATTTTATAATTAAAATTTTAATTATTTCACTTTTTCAAATTAATCATTTCTTACATGTTTTTAGAATGAAATAAACATAACATTCCAGAACTTTTTCATCTAGTTTACTATGTTTCAGTAGCTAAAATCATATTGTATGTGGATTTAGAATATTTTGTAAGTCATCATAGCCCAATTTAAATTAGTTCGTCTAGTTTGATATCTAGTTTAATAATTCAATTCTCCTGCCATTGATTTATTCATTTGATCATCATTTGGTATTATTCCAGTGACATAAAGATTTTAAAATTATAAATTCCGCTGCCACCATGTTAAGGTTGGCAGGGAGAAGAACAAAATTAAGATAGTAAATTTAAAACTTTTATTTAATAAATTTATTTTAAAAATATTTTACTGAAAATAAAATAAATTTATTCTTTATGTATAAAAAAAATCTATTAAATAATTTAAATAAAACTATTAAGTGAAGTTCCGTGATCCATGATATATAGCGCATATGCCCTCTGACGTTGAATAAACAACAGAGCTACGCTAGGTATTCCTCATTTCCATCTAATTGGAACATAAGTTAATTGGGGTAAAAGTTTTAAAAAAAATATGAGAAGCCCTCTACACGTTTGTGGGCAAGCCGTACTGTACGCGCAACATTTCGAAAAATGTTACAGACGTCCATAGGCTTTAAGAAAAAGAGCGGGGCAAAAAAATGAGCCTATGCCCAAGAACTGCGTATAAGTTAATTACTTTAAAGGTGGGTTGTGGCTGATTTTAAATTTAATTTTTTAAAATTAATGCTGTGAATTTACACTAAAAAAAAAAATTTTTTTTAAAGAGCATACCAATTACATTTCGGTAGTCCTGAAAAGGTTTGGGAAATACTATTTGAGAATAATTAACATTATAAAAACAAGCCCAGATGTTTTTTATTTAAAATATTTGTCTTTAATTCTGAAGAGCTTCTTTATGGAATTTTTGCAGTTGTTTAACTTGATAAATTGTTTCATGTTTAAGTTTAGTTCCATAATATCTTTTATGGTTTTATAATACCATAGAGATTTATATTTTGTATATTCTTTCCTATTATAAATGAAGATCCATGTAATGGCGTCATGAACTAGATTATGGTCTGAGTTCCTTATGATGTGAGCTAGGAATTGAATGCGACGTTTCTTTAATGTAATATGTATTGGAGTGTGTTTTGATATTCTCCATAAATTATTATTAGATACTACTTTTGGGTAGAAGATACCATTTATAGTACGGAGGCAGTTATTTATGAATGATTGTAATCTTCTATTTTCTGTTTTATTAATTTCCCATAAATCTCCACCAAATAATATAGTAATTATAGTAGAATTAAAAATTCTTAGTCTGGTGTGTACAGAAATCTCTTTCGTTTTCCATATTTTCATATATTTATAAAACGCCACTCTCGCTTTTTGTATTCTAATTTTCAATTCTTCTTTACAGCATCCTTTATTGTCAAGCATAACTCCTAAATATTTTATTTTTTCTACAATCTTAATTGCATTTCTTCCAATTGTAAAATTTAAATTTTGAGTTGCATTTGGGGAAGGAAGAATAAAAGTTTTATTAAAGTTTATTTTTAGACCCAATCTCAAACTTAATGTTTCTAATAAGTATAACATATATTTTGTTTCTTCAACACTTGTAGACACAAGGGCTATATCATCAGCATAAGGTATTATTCGATTTTCCACACTTATTGTAACATTTGAACCTATATCTAATAGATTTGCAGCTCCCAGAGCTTCTTTTATGATTTTA